TATATATATATATATGCCCAGAATTATGAAAGTGGTCTAAGTCATATATTTCTTGTTTTGAGATATTTAATGATTTGCATTTGAATAAATTAAAAAATATTTTTACATTATGCGGCATTTCAATTTTTAATTTTATTAGTCTTAATTAATGAAAATTTATTATGAATATGAAATTTTGTGTAAATTTCATACGATAATATTGTTTTGAAAGGTCGAATTGACTTAGACTATTTTCAAAATTAACTGAATGTCCTATAAATGACTTAAAGCAATAAAAAACTTTGAGTTTTATTTGAAACAATAATTTCATAGAAATAATTCGTGAGCATTTATTAATTATTTTTGAACGGTAATCCATTTTTATCATTATTTCGAGTATTTAAGATTCTTAAAATGTTCCTGAAAAACTGGGGGGTTGTACAGTAGTAAACTCATAATATCTTTGTTTTTCTTCCGCTGATTTCTAATGCTGGTGTATAATGGAAGTAATTTAATATTGCCGTATATTTTTGGTCTTTCTCTTTTAGGTGAAAGATCCAAAACGTGAAATGTAGAATCATCTAAAGAAGTTTTATAAAACATAAAAAAATTTATAAGGTTCATTTTTCAAGAATCTCATCCATTGAATTTGTAGCCAAGAGACAGATTCGCCCGCGGTATTTTTGACTATTCTTATTATTGTATCTTCTAATGATTTCGTTGAAATAAAATCCGGCTGCGACATTTGCTTTATCGAAAATGTATTGCTTCTTCTGCACTTTTCTATCAATTCATAATAATGCTCAGGGTTGTATAAGCAATTTGCTTTTTTTAATTTTCATTTCTATCAACCCAAAATCACGATCATTCGGTAGAAAGGAATGACCTGACACCAAAAATTTTTGACTAAGACCACTTTCATAATTAACACTAAATGAATTCCATATAATGTTGAAATTACAACCACTATCTAATGGTTCATTTTTGACAATTTCGTAAAAATTACATTGAATACATTAGTTTAAACTAATGTGATATGAAATAACTGATAAACTCATTTTTTTTAAATTTTGACTTAGACCACTTTCATAATTATAGGCATGTATTTTTTTATTTGAACAGTACAAATACATTTCATCACTTGCACACATCCTTAAATTATGAAGAACTTAGTTGAACAAACCGAGCCCATATCATCATCGAACTCCTCTGGCTCAGATTCCTTCTTCTTTTCCTCCTTAGCAGCAGCAGCTGGTGCGGCAGCTCCACCGGCAGCAGCAGGGGCAGCGGCTGTTGGTCCGGATCCAACTCCTGAACCGATGTTGGTGATCATCAATATATAGACATTTCATCACTTGCACACATCCTTAAATTATGAAGAACTTAGTTGAACAAACCGAGCCCATATCATCATCGAATTCCTCTGGCTCCTTAGCAGCAGCAGCTGGTGCGGCAGCTCCACCGGCAGCAGCAGGGGCAGCGGCTGTTGGTCCGGATCCAACTCCTGAACCGATGTTGGTGATCATTCAGGTCTTTTACGTTTACTCCTTCCAAAGCCTTGGCGAACAATCTTGGCCAGTATGGCTCAACATCGACAGCTGCTGCTTTCAAGATGGTAGAGATCTTCTCACCTGTTACAGCAACATCATCGTCAGCCAAGATCAGAGCGGAGTAAACGCAAGCGAGTTCAGCTTTTGTGGCCATTTTTATATATATTTGAAATAACTTTTGATTATATATATATATATATATATATATATATATATAAATTACCGGCCAAGCCGCCAACTTCACCCTCTTGATCAAACGTCACTGCGCTGGCGGCAAATTTGAATCAGGAGAATTGGCTTATTATTTTAAATTAATATACACATCTATACTAATTCAATTACACCATTAATACATATAACATTTTAATGTTATAATAATAAAATAACATAATAATAATGAACTAAAAGCATTTGTTTACTAAACATATTTTATTAATATCGCAAATTATTGATATAAAATATACTTACTAGTATTTACACATCATTTCCCAATGTAATCAATAAATAAAACACATATAAATTCTATATAACTGCCAACAAAATGTTATAATACAAAACAATGAATTTAAGTATGAAACGATAATAAATGCATCCGAAAGGAATTAGACTATGTAAATCTTCAATTATATTTTTTTATATAAACCTATTTCGAATAATATATGTATATATACAAAATGAACATTATATATGCCATATTACAGTTATTGTATAATATATAAGTGCAAAATAATGCATAATAAATAGGTTGATAAAGTACTTATGAATTAAGAATTTACTTAACATATCAAATTGTAAGAGTTGATAAATAATTGTTAAATACCATTATTTGACAGTTTATTGTAACGGCACTATGTAGAGTTGTGTAACATATATTTCAAAAATCAAATTACTTTTGCAAATCAAATATTTACAAATCATTTTATTTACAAATAAATAAAATGTTTTTAAAACTCACTAAAAAATATTTAGTAGCTTGTTTTTTAAAAGTAGTATTGGCACAATGTAAATAGTAGATAAGATTGAATATTAGTATAGATAAAACTATTTAAATCTTTATTCTTTCAATTTTGAAAGTTATTATTATGAGCATATAAATAATTTGCTTTTACGATATGTAATCTTCACGTTAAAAAGGGAAACTAGTACTTTTACAATTCAGAATCATCAGTATATAACAAAAGGATTAAAAAAAAATTGATTATTGACATACAACAAATACAAAAATAGTAATTGCCGCATTATACCGAATTATTTTTGAAATGTGAGTTAATAATTATAGAACATATAAAAAAAAGAAAAACGTATCAATTACAAATTGTTAATTCCAATCTGAATAACGCTTGTAGTTGATCATGAGATTTATGTGTTTTAACTTTTATTTCATGCTGCAATGGTTTAAATTATTCTTCAACAGTATTATCAAAATGATAATTTGGTCTAGTAAAGCTAAAACAATTTTTTCTACTGGCGCATGAAAGCAAAACCCAAATTTTAAATAAATATGAAATACCAATTTTAACCTTCAATATTTCAAGCATTTTCAATCTTTCGAACAATGCAATATTTGGCAATTAAAAATACATACATATTTTATATGTCCGTCAGTTTTTATCCTCTAGCATGAAATTAGAATAGTTTTACCGTTGTCATCAAAAATAAATTTACGGCAAAAAATTTGAAAATTAAATTAAAATGAATTCTGCTATGATATTTTAGTACTCTTTCCACAATGACAGGTCTACGAAGGGTATGTTTTCACATGGGAGTAGCGGGTTCCTAAAAATATCATTCAGAAATAATATAGTAGTAATTTATTGATTATCAAAAATTTAATATAAATCAACTTACAGATTTGATACGCGGTTGAAACCTTGTGGCTGTATAGTTCGCACATTGTCCCCGTTATCACAGAATAATCGAGAAATTGATGATTTTCGAATTTCGTTTAGTTGTCCTATAATGAAATAAAACAAATAGAATGAAAATGCCGAAAAAATCTGAACACAAATAAATAGATGTAAAATATTATTATATATTAATTACTATTAAACTAGAAGTGCATGGCATGGTGACTTAAGGCAAATTGCTGGAACTTTCTGTACCAAAAAATAAAATTTTTAATACCTTTAAAAATTTTTGAAAGCTTTGAAAAAAATAAATTTTAAGAATTTTAAAATTTTTGAAAAAAATGAGTATTCTTGAAAAATTTGAATTTTTTCATATTTCAAAATTTTTTTATATTTTGAATTTTTCTTAAAATTTTGAACTTTTTTTCAAAGAAATCGTGCTGCGTAGCTGTTTTAGAGAAAAAATATCGAAGCGCGTTTGTTTGCGATTACTATAACTTACCCTACAGGAAGTTAATAAGCAATTGTAGAACTTATATATAGAATTTTGCTCTGACAAATTAATTAATTAATGATTTGCAAAAATTATGATTTCTTGAATGTTAATTTTTTTATTCTATGTTTATATTTTCGAAAAGTATACATATAGTATTAATTTACCTTGTGAGAAACCAGTGTGAGGTCCTTCAAAGAAGAATCTATCTCCAACTCTCGTTCTGAAGAATTGTTCAGTCAATATGCATAAGAAAGTAGGACCAGCAATTGCACCAGGAACGTGAGCTTCTAGAGAACCACCAACTGTTAAATCGACATCATCTGGAGATTCATACAATCTCTGCAGTTTTCGTACGTTCTAAAAAAGAGTAATTAGAAGTAATAAAACACAAAAACTCTACATAGTAATATAACAAAAAAAATTTAATTCTTAGAACCTTAAAAATTATGATTTTTTGAACGATTTAAATATTGAATTTTTGAAATTAATAAAATAGAATTATTTGTAATAATTAAACTAGTGGTGCATGGCATCATGCCTTAAGATAAATTGCTGGAACTTCCCGTATTGTAATCTGAATTAATAAAAAAAACGCAAAACTGCAAATTATATTTTTGAGAAATTTTGCAAGTTTTGAAAAAAAAGACTTTAGAAAATTTTGAAAATTTTACTAAGGATCGAGTTGCATAGCTGATTTGGAGTCGAAATATTAAAGCGCGTAAGCACCATGTAGTCGTCTAACGTGTAAACATTGGTACGGAACCCATATAAATGTACGCAAAATTTGTACTTATCATTATAATCTTTATAAAATGTCTTATAATACGATGTACATATGTCTAATGTTTATTTTTTGATCGCCAAATGACATTATTTTTTACTTTTTTTATTGAATCTCAGGAGACGCTAGACTTCCATTTACAAAAATTTGACCAGTTGTTCATTTCGTCAATACAAGTCAAATATTTTTTGAATTATTTAAATCGAAAGCTCTGTTATCTCAAAAACTAAAATACCATTTTTGTCACTTTTTGCCCCGTATATCCGAAACGGCTAGACCTGCCTTTGCAAAAAACTAATCAGTACGTCTCTTTGTAAGTAGTAACCGAATATTTTTTAAATTATTCAAATCGGTTGATCCGTGTTCGCGAAATCGTCGATGAAAAATTGTATTCGCACACACTTACACACACACACACGTACCCGCACACGTCCATTTATTCTGAGGTAAATGTTCAAAGTTCTGAACTCTAAAACGTAAAAATATGCAAAAATTTTCATTTTAGATTTTTTTGCTATTGCTATAACTTACCCTACAGAAAATTAACAATTTCAATAGCTGTAATAAAAAAATTAAGGACTACCCTTGAGGAACATTGTACATTGAGACAAATGTCTAAAAATCCATAAAAAAAAGTCATACAATTAAAAATGCATAATACAAATATTATATCCATACCTCCATTGAGATAGCATTCTCATGCGTGTGGAATTCTTCAAAAGTATGAGCTCGTTTGAGCCCACAAAATTCTCTATAATCATTATATGAACCCAAACCATGGTCGCGATTCCTTTGAATATCGATAGCTCGCAAATCATTTCCGAAAGGACTGGCTCCACGGAATAAGTAATGTTTTATCTGCAATAAATAAATAAATTATGATGATTATTTTTATCTTCTTCGCTACTACATATCGAGATTCATGTCTCTGATCCGTGAAGAGTCATATTCAAAATTAGTAGCATTATATTACTTTCTTTTGCAAGTCGAGACTCTATTCCAATTATGTATATTGAAATAGATGTAATATAAATATTGGGGCTTATACGAATAAGTGCCTAATAATTTATTCCGGATTTAAATTCAATTTACATCCAAATTCCAAATTTATTTCTGATTTATTAAACCTATTATTTTTGATTTATTATCACTTAATTTAAAATTCCATTACAATAGTTACCTCAGGATCAAATTTCTGGTCAGTGAGTGCTTGAGGTTGAGTTGCCAGACCTCTTGTGAGGTCATCCATATTATTAGCTTGCTCGATGATTACGGGTCTGTTGAACCAATCGCTTAACCGAAGACCTCCGAAACTATTACGGTGTTCTGACACCAAGCTGCAAATATATAGATAACATTAATTGTTTAACTTCCCGTACCAAAAATTATTTTTTTCAAAATTTTTTTTTTTTTTAACTTTGAAGAAATTAGATTTTTGAGAATCTTAGCATTTTTGAAAAAAAAATTGTTCATGTTTTGAAAGATTTTGGAAATTTTGAACTTTTTTTCTAAGCAATCGCGCTGCTTTAGCTAGTGGGACGCATGGCATCGTGCCTTAAGACAAATTGCTGGAACTTCCCGTACCAAAAATGATTATTTTTTTAAAAACAAACAACATTTTTGAAAAAAAATTACATCGAAAATATTAGATTTTTGAGAAACTATAAACTTGTCAAAAAATAACTTTTTTTTAAAAAAAAAATGTTCTTTATTTTGATATATTTTGGAAATTCTGAATTATTTTTTAAAGCAATCGTACTGCATTAACTGCATATAGACGAAATGTCAAAGCGCGTAAGCGCCGCGTCGCCGTCTAACGGATAAACATTGGTACGGAACCCATAGGAATGTAAACAAAATTTATACTTATTGTTAACATCTTTTTAAAATATCTGATAATTTGATTTCCATATATCTAATGATCATTTTTAACCGCCAAATGGCTTTTTTTTAGTTTTTTTATTAGATCTCCGAAACCGCTAGACCTACCTTCATGAAAATTTGATCAGTTGTTCATCTTGTCAATACAAGTAAAATGTTTTTTGAAATATTAAAATCGGACGCTCCGTTCTCTTAAAAACTGTGTTACCATTTTTGGCACTTTTTGCGCCGTATCTTTGGAACGGCTAGACCTGCCTTTGACAAAAACTAATCAGCACGTCTTCTTATCAATACGAATCGGATGTTTTTTGAATTCTTCAAATCGGTTGATCGGTGTTCCCGAAATCGTCGACGAAAATTTGTATCCGCACACACACACACACGCACACACACACACATACATTCATTTTTTCTAAGGTATGCCAAAATATTCAGAAACCCTTGAAACGTAATGATATATAAAAATTTTCATTATCGATTTTTTTGCGATTACTATCTATAACTTGCCCTACTGGAAGTTAAAAAACAATTGCACGTGATATCGAACCGATATACACGTAATTCTCTTCAACTGACTTGAGTAGGTTTCAAAATTTTCAAAAAAATTGAAAAAAAAAAAAAAAATTTTGAAAAAAAACTATTTTTTTCAACATGTTCAAAATATTTTTTTAAAGTTTTTGAAAAATTTTAATTATGGAACTTTCAGCAATTTGCCTTAAGACAATGCCACGCATTGTCTCATATTTTATCACTACATCAACGTAGAATTTCGCTTGTCGGGCGACGTAAATTATGCCTAAAAATACTTAGGGTCGTATAAACCGTTTAAATACCAGGGTGCGGTCAATTCTGTATGACGTCCTATAATCTCAAATATTCTAGCATAACATTCGTGGGACTTATAAAGTTATAATGAAGAGTTATTTGAAACTCATAAAAATTAAAAATGAGTTTTAATTTTTAAAAATTTTGAAAATTTTCTCACTCTAATCGTCCAGCGATTTGCGTGTGGAAGTAACGGAATGCAGCGGTGGCGTGCTCGTTCAATACGCTCGGGTCCACTTCTGGATCGTAGTCATCGATAAATGTATACGGTTGTTGATAGATCAAGTGGTTCTTCACCATATTGTCGACACCTATGAAAAGTACATAACATTAGTTCCCCATCAACACAATTCTAAATAGACAAATGAAAGTTTATATGCCATGAAAAATGTAGGTAAATCGATACATATGGATAGTCGACTTTTGATGAAATAAATATTTTGCATACATAGACATTACACTACATGAACTGCTAGTCCTAATATGTTTAACGAACGTTGTATATAGTGCTCAAACATAGAAGGGTATGCCACGTCACATGTCTGAGCGAACATTGCCGACGACAATCGCGCAATCTCCCGATTGATCAAATGTTATATGCCATATGTTACGTGTCTAACATAGGCCTTATAATATATAAAACAAACCAATTTTAACAAAGAGGATTCGATTATATGTACATTAAGGGAATATTCTAGTGTAGAGCGATGAATTTTAGGTCGTTTTTAAAGTGTCGTAAAAGAAAGCAATGAATGTTTTTACTATCCATTTTTTTACCACTTATTTATTAATATTATTAAAATACAAAACAAAAATTAAAAAATTAAAAAGTTGAAAATTGTAAAAACTGGCAGCTGATGAAGTGGGTGGTCTCAAAAAATTGGTACCTCAGTCTTGACATGATTTCAACCCCCCTAACCATCGGAAATGCAAAAAATAAAAAGATTATTAATTTACAATGATGTCGCAATCGCCCAAACTAGCGATGAGTAAAAAAATTATTCTCACAAATTGGCGACTGTTTGAAAAAAAGTGTTTTTTTTACTGTTTTTTTGAGTTTCTCGAATTTTTTAAAAATAGTAAAAATTGGAATTTGGGGATAATCCTAGTTTGGGCTATAGATAAGTATATAAACAAGACTCTCTGAACATTTCAAGTGCATCGGTCGAGTGGAACTCGAGAAATCGTGTCTACAGTACTGAAGAAGTCTGTTATGAGAAAAACGCATTTTTTGCGTGAAGCCAAATCAGTATGGAGGTCAGTAAAATGCCTATATCTCCGAAAATAATTCAAATTTTCGAAAACCTTCTCGTACCCATATTCTTAGATAGTTAAACTTTGAAAATATGAAATAAAAAAATCGATTTTTTTGAATTTCTACACTAGAATACCCCCTTAATTTTACAGGCAAAATATTAATATCATTTTTGCAAAATTATCAGCCCTCACAATTGCCATTATATGGTTGAAATAAACATATGACACATGACATTTAATCAATCGGGAGAGTCGAACGATTGTCGGCAACGTTCGCTCAGCAAGTGACGTCAAATTCGATGTTTGTGCACTTATTTTGCGCTTGACTAGCAGTCCATGTAGTATAAGGTGTATGTTTGCATATCCCAATAAGGACATATTTAGAATATACGTACTAATTTATGACCCATGACAAATTAACATGGATTTGTATTTTCATGAAAAGTGTGGTACGTATATAGGGTTTGTCGGTTTTCAAAAACCGATTTTTGGCGAAAATTATGGAATTCGAAAACCGTTTTTTAGTGGAAAAAGTCGGTTTTCACTATAAATGAAAAATGACAAATATAGCCAAATATAAAAGATAGATGAAAGCGTTTTGATTCTTGAAATCATATCGTTTCAATAGCATTTGATATCTTATCAGTCTGCAATGGTTCCCAGAAAGGTTTTGTATATATTTAGATTTTTATACCAGTGTATATATTAATATAAATCAGTATGACTTCTTCTTGTAGAAGTAACTTCCTCTACTCAAACTTAAAAAAAAGAGTTTTAAACCATAGAAGCCACAAATTAAATAACAAAAAACTTAAAATTATCATATCAGGCTTTAAAAACAATTAAGCATAATTTGATCGCAAGTATGAGAGTATTTTCTAGTTGTGAAATTCGAAAGAAATTTTGTGAGTGAACAAAGGACATGTCTAAGTAGCAATTCAATATACATTCTCAGTTTTTTGAAATCATATTTTATTAAACGAAAAAACAATTAGAAAGTTTAAAATTAATTAATTAAAATTGCTTGGATCAGACAATACCCGAGTTAATACCCTTAAATGTTTTTAAAACTAAAATTAATATTTAACAAGTATGTATCAACATGTATCTAATATTTTTTATTTTTCTTTTAGTTTGATGAATTTTTGTTATTTATTAATGTATTATTTTTATTTATTCGAAAACTTTATTTTTACTATCATAAAATTATTTTCATTCTTATATGTGAAAATGATGCATGAATAACGAATAATTTTATTACTTTTTAGTTCTATAAATTAAAATTAAAATAATTTTATTTACTATCTATAAAGTTGAACAATAAATAAATTCAGTCAAATACTGCTCTAAATTACACTTTTGCGGATAAATTACAGAATATTCGAGCAAAAATTTATTTTCTATATAAAACTCGAAAACCAGTTAAAACCGGTTTTTTAGATAAATTAAAATTCAAAAACCGGTTTTCTGAAATGTCGTTTTTTATATAAACCCTATACGTAAACCATTTGATGTTCTACAAAAATATTTAAATTTGACCATATTGATTTTTGATACAATGTGCTGGTCCCATATATAATGTTTCAGTTAATTATTATTTTGTCGGTTTGAGAAATTCGTTGCATAAGATTGAGAAAATTAAATACTCACAAGTAGATAATTATTAAAGTTATTGAAGACCAGACAAAACGATTTTATTTTAAATATTAATAAAATCAATTTTCGCTTCCTTCTGATTGCATTTTAATAAAAAAAAGATTTCAAATGCCATTACGCCCTTTCAAAAATAATAAAATTACTTAAAAATACTATACACTCTATTAATTTCGACTTACCCAGCATGATTGGTAACCATTCGTAGTAGTTAATGTGTTGGGCCTGAGCGATGTTGATGTGCCGAGCCTCCTGGAATACACGTTCGTCGTCCCAATGAGGATTCATATGCGCCAGGGCATCGGCGATTCGATTGTGTTCACGTAATAAAATAATTTGCAAGATCGTCAACTGAGTGTTCTGATTCACACGAACATCACCTTGGAAAATAACATGGAAAAATTAGACGATAAGTAGTGTATGCATTATAAATTTTATCACTTCTTAACTCCGATGTTATTATAAACTAGCTGCAAGTGGAATTCTGTCTTAAGGCAATTAAGGCATCGTGCCTCAAGGCAAATTGCTGGAACTTCACGTACCAAAAATTATTATTTTTTTAAAAACAATTAACATTTTTGAAAAAAATTTACTTCGAAAAAATTAGATTTTTGAGAAACTATAAATTTGACAAAAATTACTTTTTTTTGAAAAAAAAAATTTTTTTTTTGAAGACAAAATTTTTTTGTAAAGAAAAATGTTTTCTTCATTTTGACATATTTTAGAAATTATGAACTTTTTTTCAAAGCAATCGTACTGCTTGAACTGCATAGAGACGAAATGTCAAAGCGCGTAAGCGCCGCGTCGCCATCTAACAGATAAACATTGGTACGGAACCCATAGAAATGTAAACAAAATTCATACTTATTGTAAAAATCTCTATAAAGTATCTGATAATTTGATGTGCATACGTCTAATGATCATTTTTCTCCGCCAAATGGTATTTTTTTACTTTTTTTTACCAGATCTCCGAAACCGCTAGACTTCATAAAATCATCAATTCTTTATCTTGTCAATACAAGTAAAATGTTTTTTGAATTTTTGAAATCGGACGCTCCGTTCTCTTAAAAACCGTGTTACCGTTTTTGGCACTTTTTGCCCCGTATCTTCGGAACGCCTAGACCTGCTTTTGCCAAAAACTAATCAGCAAGTCTCCTTATCAATAATACGAATCGAATGTTTTTTGAATTATTCAAATCGATTAATCGGTGTTTCCGAAATCGTCGACGAAAATTTGTATCCGCACACACATACAATGATTAATTTTTAGTTAAAGCGAAAATTTTATTTTCGAGATAAACAGTTGAAAATTTTAATTAAATAGCTAAATATCAATTTTGGTTTATTTAGTCAATTATTAAACATATCATTTTTATTTTTAGCTTCCCGTAGGGTAAGTTATTGTAATGGGCCGAAAATCGAAATTAAAAGTTTTTACATTTCTCGACGTTTTGAAGGTTTCTGAACATTTTGGCATACCTCAGAAAAAATTGATGTGTGTGTGTATGCATGTATGGATACAAATTTCCAGTCACGTTTTCGGGCGCACGGATCAACCGATTTGAATGGTTCAAAAAACATTCGATTCCTATTGATAGGGAGATGAGCTGATTAGTTTTTAGCAAATGCAGGTCCAGCAGTTACGGAGATAAAGAGCAAAGAGTGCAGAAAATAGAAATCGAGTATTTGAGAGAACTGAGCATCCGATTTGAATGATTTAAAAAACATTCAATTAGTAATGATTGGGAGAAGTGTTTAGTAGTTTTTGGCAAAGACAGGCCCAGCCATTTCGAAGATACGGAGCTAAATGTGTAAAAAATGACAGTTTTTGAGAGAACTAAGCGTCCGATTTAAATGATTCAAAGATCTTTCTGCTTGTCTTAACAGAATAATTGATTTTGGAAAAAAAAAATTGTTTCAAATTTTTTTTTTTCAAAAAAAAATTTTTTTTGTATATCGAAAATAATTCAGATTTTATTTTTAATTCGGACTATAGTTCTAATATACTTTAAACAAATAATTTCAACTTTGCAATTCAGTTTATATAATTCTTATAAATATTAGACAACGTTACAATATTAATAACAATCTATTTGAAAACATTCAGTATTCACCGAACATTCTGTTACGGTACGGGAAGTTCCAGCAATTTGCCTTAAGGCACTATGCCATACACCCCACTAGTTAAAATTTATTTTTAAAATGCCATAATGCGGTCCTGAGAACAGATCTAAAATTATTTACAGTCGAAACAACTTGTAATGCAATAAAATTACGATCTGTCGATTTTCACCGATTCATTGCGAGAAATTATGTATAATAAAATATCATTATTTTGTTATTTGCGATCAAAAAAAACTTCGGAACATGTAACAAGAATAATAACATTATTAGTGTTATTCATAAGATCAAGAATCAAGTATAGGTTAAGGATAAAACAATACAATTAGGTGCAGTAAATCATATACAGCGGTATAAAGTTATTTTTGAACAATCTATTGTATTGAAACCTGTTTGATCATTTTCAGTCTTCATGAGAAGAAATATATAACGTATTATTTTTACACCTATAAATAAAAACTTTATACAGGATGAGATTGCTTAAGTGGTCTCCAGTCGTATTTTCTGAAAAAATAATGCTATAATATTCAGTGCAATTAAATATAATAAAAAACTTTGGCGTTTATGGATTGTTTATTCAGTTGGCTAATGCCTGATAATTATTGAAATTTATTTAAAAAAAAAATTTCGTTTTTTCAAAAATGTGCTCTCGACAATTAAGGCGTCTTTGTCGTACCTAAACAACTAAAAAACTACATACGATTCAGTATGAAATCAATTTTTTTAGATATCAGTTTCCACGCCGGACATAATTATTAAAATAATACTTAAAATGAAATAATAATCTAAAAATGTAACAAATGTATGGTATTTAAAAAATTATTAAGTCTCTAGATTATTAAATCTCGTGAAGACTGATTAAACTGTTATTGGTTTTGGTGTTTCCAATTTGAGCAAAAACTTTGGAAAATTATATTAATCCAATATTTCTTTGTATTTATAAAAAAAACAATAAAACGATTTCTATTAAACCGATACGAGTAAAACTATTGGCATGACCTAAACAATAGACTAATATAACTGAACATTACCAAAGAAAAAATGTTTGGATATGAATGAAAAATATTATTAGAAACATTATAATAAACTTACATTTTTATTATTTATTTCTATTTGTCAAAGTTAGCTTACCTTCAAATTGTAAACGTTATGAAATAAAACAATACGATTATAACATTTAAAAATAGTTACAATATCATTATTTCACTCAACGATTGCAAAAAATAACTAAAGTAACAACTCATCCCTTTTAACGCATTTGTGCAGATGACCTTAAAAATTGTATGATAATAAATCTTAGTACTTTCAATTTGAATAAGTACAATTTACTGAGACTATAGAAACTAGACGTTTGTTCTGAAACCATGGTCATTTATTTGCTCAACAACTTTTAAAAAAAAAAAAATTAAATACTAACGTTTAAGTTTCATTATATTTATGGTCTTAATTTATTAATATTTTTCAATTATAAGAAACATTTTAATCAAAATTTTATGTATGAAATTCCTGCTGCGTCTGAGGTGAAACGTCAATTGCACAACAGATACTAAATTTGTTTGTTCTGGAATTATTACAAATGGAATGTTACGGTTCGAATGATTAAAAATTATGCTATATTGAAGTTAATTAATTTACGCATTTTTAGGCTTGAAAAAACTTTCAACTTTGTGAAATTCTAAAAAGAAATTTATCGATTTATTTGAGAAAAATAAGGCACTGATAATCTAGATATAATAATATCCAATTCTTGAGAATATAATCAAGAGGTTAAAGACTGAACTTTCAAGCAAATTGATTGAATGCTTTACATATGTATTAGCTTCAAGCAAAGTCATGATTAATTGTTCTTTTTCAAAACATTTTGAACATTATAATCATATATAAAAAAATCTGTTAGTTAATAGAATTATTACGAATTGTCCTATTTGCTGAGAGAGAGGAATGACGGACCAATTTAAAATTATTTTATAACTAAATCACTTTTAATATTTTAGGATGATCGTCAAGTATATGAACCTTATCTATCATCGCCAAACGATTTAGAGTGACTTAGAACGTTGAGAAAACATAAAATTATCAAATAAGATTTGCTGAAGATCGCAAATCAATTCGAATTTAGTTCCATAAAATTGTGTATGTTACACATCGTAAAGCAAATTTTTATATGTTCATAGATCATAAATTATATAATAACGTGTTTATTATTTTATAATTATAAACATTTAGCGTAAATTAACTTGATAGTTTTTATATAGCGTGGTCATAGATAATAATATAATGCGGAAAACATTTTACGATTATTTTAGAGATCTTGGAGAATTCACATTATATATAAATACCACAAATCGACACGATGCACTTGGTTAGGTTTTCACAGTCCAGGATTTAGGTATAAGCTGCACAAAAACTAAAATTTTCGCTTCTTAAAAGCCACACTCCCCCAAAAAAAATCGCTTTAATTTATAAAGAAAACTGAAACACTTTGGCTACAAAATATTAAAATATACCGAATAAAATTTGAGAAAAAATAACATTAAAATAAATCTATGGTATGATTCAGATGCATGCAATTAAAAAATAAGTTCCTTGTAGATAGTTTTCCAATAAATACCAATAAAAACCTCAATATTTTATATAATCGAAATAATTATCAATCTATTTAAGTAATCTAATAACAGAATCGATTATCTGGAAAGTAAAGTAAAGTCACTAAACAATAAAATATAAACGTAAAAGTTTTCACTGAAGATGTTAAAACTCTTCAAATATAGATATGTAACTTAAAGAGTTAAATTGACATTAAACTAAGGTGACCATACGTCCCTGTTTGCCCGGGACAATCTCGGATTTCCACCTTAGGTCCTGGTTTTTTTTTTAAAAGCAATATTTGTCCCGGATTTAGATCTTTTGTCTCGGGTTTTCGAAAACTATAGGTTTAAATTGATTCTTCGCTTTTACTTGATAACAGAATTGATAACTAACCATCAAATATCTGAAAATGTTATGTACAACTAGTATGCTTATATAAAAAAGCGAGTTAAAATAGCCTCTCATTTTGTTCATAATTTTGAAATTTTATTTTCAATTTTACGAAAATTAACAAAAAATATGAAAAAGAACGTTTTGATTCCCTGAATAATGCAAGTGAACGTGCTAACTATTTTTAAATAATTATGAAAAAAATTAAACAAAATTTTATAAGAAGTTTGAAAGCTGAAAAAACATATAAAGATAAAATATAACATATAATCGAATACTGAAGTTCTAAGTCAGTTATTCTAATTAAAAAAATACTCATTTTAAAAAAGCGGATTTTTAATTAATTCTTAAATAGCATTTGTTATTTTAAAATCATTATTTTTTTAGCATTTACTCCCTCCCCCCGTCCAGAATCGGCATATTTTGAAATTACCGCCCCGGTTTTGACTTGAAAAAATATGGTCACCTTATAAATTAAACAGATGCTTTATTTACCAGCCAAATAGCAGACTTCACCGGGTTGCTGAATGTCGCAGGAAGCAGTAGCATTAGGTGCAGCAGGAGGCCATTCGCGTCCTCCACGAACATCGGTGGCCATTCGTCCTCCAACCCAAGCACGGAGCATGTCGTTTTGTTGTTTAGTATTACCATAAACTAGAGACAAATCCATATAGGCTGTCACAACAGTCAACTGAAAGTAAAAAAATATTAACATTAGAATAAATTATTAATTAAAAAACTAGTTTTTCTGAGGTATGCCAAAATGTTCAGTAACCTCCGAAACATGAAAATATGCAAAAAAAATTCATTTTCGATTTTTGGTCCATTACTATAACTCATCCTACAGAAAGTTAATTAAAAAAACACGAATTTAGGGGTATATTTTTAGAATAAAATAGTTATGTTATGCTACCGTTTATTTAATAAAAGTCTTTTGTTTAATAATCGCATAAGTTGGTTTTACTCAATATTAATAACTTTCAAAATCTTACCTCTAATTGCACAAATGTCAAGTAATAATGTTTTCATAAGTGTACCATTTTGTGGTCGTTTGTATCATTTGGAGGTTAGATTTTAGAAGTAGTTTAGAAGTAGTGTAAAACGCTCTATCGAACAGCAAAGACATAACATTTTGACAGTAATATAATTATTTTATCAAAGGATTGGCCTCTTGATTTTTGCACTAGACAAGGTTATGCTAGTATGAGTTTCTTTTTGCAGTAGTTTTACTCAATGATATTCATGAATCAAAATAATGTTCCTAAGCGGTTTCGTCAACAAAAATGTGACTGTCATTCCGAAACAATGCAATCCTAGATGTAATCAATTGATTGATGGTTACGCAGTATTAATTACTAAATGCTTTTAGTAACAGTTAAAATACTAAAAGGTTTCTTTTATTGTGAAGGATAAATTCAATAGTGAATATTGCATGAAAATAATTTTTGATAGCCATTTCAGAATTGACATGCATTAGAATTCATTTGTTCTAAAATAGTGTGGAAACCTTGTAGAACCAGACAAAAACTTATGACTTATTTTACACAATATATAATTTCAATATCTTCATTTTGTAAAATGATTACTTCGTTGGCGATTACTTTAATCGTTTGACTCACGTGAAATTATAGAGAAGTACATAGACTCTAATTCTTCTTTTTAAATAATTTTATATTACTACTACTGCACACACACACACACACACACATATATATATATATATATATATATATATATCCTAGCAGAGTGTCTTAGAAAACAACATCAAGCCAAAATTTGGGGACAAATTTATGACCATCACGGGAAAAATCAGAAAAAATCGCCCAGCAATTATGAGCTTTTAAGTACAATTATGAGCTTTAGTCAAACTATGGCCATTTTTCGGTAATTGCAGTTAATTTTTATTGTTTTTGTTTATTTAGACTTTGGAGCACTAACCTTAAATAACATCTAAGACAACAATTGATACATTTGCTCTAAGTTTTTTAAAATTAAAACTATTAGTTAAACTATAAATTTAACAATGTATAAAATTTAGAATAAATTTCTCAAAACAATTGAAATATAATGATGTTCTAGATTTTTTAAATCTACATTTTCAATTCTTGTAGTATGTGTTTCCTGGTTAAACCCCTTACTGTTCGTCTGGTTTAAATCATGACACAGAATTGCATGCATTACACATGTGCGGAATCGACATCAATCAATCAAGTATTCGAAACAATAGTTTCGCATCGGATACAACTATTAATCATTTGCAAACTGATTGAATATGTTTTAGCATAATAAACAGTCCAGTAAGACAATCAATTTATTGCATGTTACAAAATGCTTCCTAATTATATAAGCCATTGCGAATTTGTGAGCAGTTCCTATCAGAAAAATAATTGCGGTATGAAATTGATATATTGCGAAAATGGTATCTTAAAAAAGAATTAATCAAATCAAATGAATGAATTATAAACAAACAGCTAATTAATATAAAAAAATATTTACCAAAAGTATATTAAAGAGGACAAAAAATTAATAGAAGACTGATCCTGTGTTTGCATATATTTTAGATAATTTATAATTTGATAGTGTAAATTTTTGTATTTATAAGAACATAAATCCACAGATTTATGACTTGGTAAACTCTACATACTAAATGAGTTGTTTGCGGTTTATGAAACAATATAACAGCCAATAACCAAAACCATAAAACGACTTGGCAAAGAAAGTAAGTAATAAAATTATCTTTGAGCTCTAGTATGAATCGCTACATCGAAACATTTTTATAGCGAATTTCGAACATAATTGCAAATATTTATCTAAAGCGAAAAATAAAGAAACAAATGATTTTTTGTGAGTAAATAAAAGAAAACTAAAATAATCACGTTAGATCAATTCTATGAAAAAGATGAAGTTTGTAACTCCTTACTTCGACTGCTAATCCATGCGAATCAATTATATGCGCCCTATAATCGCAGACCATTATTTTGAATTTTAATGAATTTTATAATTTCTGGCACTAACTCCAAATCTTACTATAGTAAGCTTTTAGAAATATTTAAACAAGAACTTAGATCTTAGAACAAGGTGTTTATAGCAAGAATTTAACAAGATAACGATAATACTCTAATAAGATTTTGGTAGTACTATAATATTTTATAATATTTTGGTAGTAATATAATATTTTAGTTGTAACAAGAAAAGTCTCTTAAAAACTGAGCTACCGTTTTTGGCACTTCGGAACGGCTAGACCTGACTTTTTAACTTTCCGTAGGGCAAGTTATAGTAATCGCAAAAAAATCGAAAATAAAATTTTTTATATATCTTTACGTTTCAAAGGTTTCTGAATATTTTGGCATACCTTAAAAAAAATAGATGTATGTGTGTGTGTGCGTGTGTGTATGTGTGTGCGGATACAAATTTTCGTTGACGATTTCGGGAACACCGATCAACCGATTTGAATAATTAAAAAAACATTTGATTTGTATTGATAAGGAGACGTGCTGATTTTGGCGAAAGCAGGTCTAGCTGTTCCGAAGATACGGGGCAAAAAGTGCCAAAAATGGTTACTCAGTTTTTAAGAGAACGGAGCGTCCGATTTTAATAATTCAAAAAACATTTTACTTGTATGAACAAGATGAAGAATTGATCAAATTTTTCAGCAGGTCTAGCGGTTTCGGAGATCTAATAAAAAACTAAAAAAAATGCCATTTGGCGGTCAAAAATGATCAGTAGACATATGCACATCAAATTATCCGATATTTTATAGAGATTTTAACAATGAGTATAAATTTTGCTTACATTCCTATGGGTTCCGTATCAATGTTTATCCGTTAGACGGCGACGCGGGGCTTACGCGCTTCGATATTTCGTCTCTATGCAGTTAAAGCAGTACGATTGCTTCGAAAAAAAGTTCAGAATTTCCACAATATGTCAAAATGAAGAAAACATTTTTTTTTTCAAAAAAAAAATTTTATTTAAAAAAAAAGTAATTTTTTGTCAAATTTATAGTTTCTCAAAAATCTAATTTTTTCGAAGTAAAATTTTTTCAAGAATGTTGATTGTTTTTAAAAAAATAATAATTTTTGGAACGGGAAGTTTTAGCAATTTGCCTTAAGGCACGATGCCGTGCACCCCACTAGTTCAATTTTCGAAATAAGTTCAATTTTTTTTTCGAAAAGCTGACGTCAATTTGTTTGAAAGTCTGATGTTCTACTTTTCCATGCCTAATAAAATATTTATCGTACCGAAACCATTAATATTTCACTTCTCATTGAATCGACCGATAGTAGTATCATTACCTGTTCAGCGGGATAAGCTGGATGGGTCTGGCAGCCGCGGTCACGGTCCGTGATGGTCCGCACGAAGTTCATGCATTCGCGGTTTGTGTGGCGGTAGACGGGATCGTCGTGCGGGATGACGATCGCGAGGCAAGTGGTGTGCGCGCGGGTTCTCTCGATCAGTTTACCATCGTCCGTACAACAACGGGTTGCGTGCGGTTCTGGAATATATACATAATATATTAGATTATTTATAAAGAGTAATATATTATAGATTATTTAGATATTGAAACTCCTGACGAAAAGAGATTTATTAACTTCCCGTAGGGTGAGTTATAGTATTCGCAAAAAAATCGAAAATGAAAATTTTTATATATCTTTACGTTTCAGAGGTTTCTGAATGTTTTGGCATACCTTAGAAAAAATGGATGTATGTGTGTGTGTATGTGTGTGTGTGTATGTGTGTTCGGATACAAATTTTCGCCGACGATTTCTGGAACACGGATGAAGCGATTTGCATAATTCAAAAAACATTCGATTCGAATTGATAAGGAGATGTGCTGATTAGTTTTTCGCAAAAGCAGGTTCAGCTGTTCCGAAGATATGGGGCAAAAAGTGCCAAAAACGGTAACTCAGTTTTTAAGTGAACGGAGCGCCCGATTTGAATAATTCAAAAACATTTTGCTTGTATTAACTTTTATTTTTATTAAAAAAAGACTTTTTGAAGAAAAGTGTATTTTGCAATATTTTGGCAATTCTAAACTTGTAAGCAATTGTACTGCTTTAACTGCATAAAGACGAAATATCGAAGCGCGTAAGCGCCGCGTCGGCGTCTAACGCGTAAACATTGGTACGGAACCCATAGGAATGTAAACAAAATTTGTTTTTTGAATTATTTAAATCGGACGCTCCGTTCTCTTAAAAACTGAGTTACCGTTTTGGCACTTTTTGCCCCATATCTTCGGAACGGCCTTCACCAAAAACTAATCAGCACGTCTCCTTATCAATACGAATCGAATATTTTTTGAATTATTCAAATCGCTTCATCCGTGTTCCCGAAATAGTCGACGAAATTTTGTATCTGCGCACACACACACATACACGCACACACACATACACACACATCCATTTTTTCTAAGATATGCCAAAATGTTCAGAAACCTCTGAAACGTAAAGATATATAAAAATTTTCATTTTCGATTTTTTTGCGATTACTATAACTTGCCTTACGGGAAGTTAAAAAAAAAATGGAAAGAAGAAGAATGCAGATAATTGATGACTTACGCAAAAACAAAAAATACAGGGAACTGTAAGCCGAAGCACATGACCAAAAATGGAAATAGAAGCAGAAGCTTGGAAAAAAGTGTATAAGAAGTGAATAATTGTAATAAAATGGCAGTACAAATAATGAACAAGGGAGGGAATAATGAACATTGATTTGTAGTGCTCTCACACCATGTACCTGCTTTTGGACTACTATTTATTATTATTATAATTTTATTGTATTATATAAATTATTCATAAATTTGTTAATATATGTATATTAAAAAAATAATTATTACAAAAATAATAAAATAGAAAGTGCAGGTGATGCTAGGTAGAAATGACTAATTGACAAATAACAACCAAATTTTTACAAATCACAGGGTTCTGCAACAAATTCGATTCAATTAAAACAAATGTTTTTGATAATGCCATAATGTATACGGTGTCTAATATTTACTGATGTGAAAATTTTGTCTTAAAATTACATATTTCATTTGTTTTAATTATTTTCTCGAAATGTGATTCATCAGTTACTGAAACTATAAAAAAGAACGGTTTAAGATTTATATTAATACTTTCATCTGACAATTTTATTTATTGAAATGAATATGGAAACTAGTTAAACAAATAAAATTATACAATGGACATTATAAAACTCATATCATAGCATGCTTTGGTATAATTAAAACTTAAAAACGCCTCATTAGTTTTATAAACTAATTGAAGTACATAAACGCTGTTTAGATTACTAAAGTGGCTATAAAAACCAATAATTCGGACAAAATCAATTTTAAATATAGTTGTTTATTTTAATCGCAATATAATATTAAGACATTTAAAAAAAAATCCATACGACGTTAAAAACGAATAATGGTTAACACAATTTTAACAGGGTGGACCATTTAAAGTGGAAGCATCAGGCAAGCAGATGTGGTACTCAAGACCAAAGACGGCCATTTACAAAACATTTTTAAAAATATAGCTTTATTATATCTCCTTGATCTAAAATAAATTATAATCGTAATGAAAATAAATAAATGTTGTGTACATATATTTTTTCCAGAAAAAAGTATATCTATTTTAAATGGCCTACCCTGTATTTATCATAGCTAGCGTTTCATTTAAAAATAATATTGTTTTAATTAAAATCATGTTTTTTAAAAACTATTCATTTACCAAACACAATCTATTGTAGTCTATAGTGTATAGTGAATACTATCTTGCATACAAACACATTATTATCTTTTATATAAGAGGTTCTAAGGTTAACATTAATCAAATCAATTTTTGTTTTACAATTTCTTTCTCTTATTGAAGAAAACAATCAATTACTTACTGGACTGAGTGGAGCCTGCCAATAGTGACATGTCATGTGTGACGATCTGACCCCATTGCATGTTGGCTAAGGTCCAAAGTGGGTCCATTTCATCGCCATCGGGAAAAACTTGCAGGCTGACCACGCGAGGATTTGGCAACTCGTTTCCATAGGCGGAGGTGGCTGGTGCATGAACGCCTAAAAAAACAGGTAGAAAATTAACTATACATATTTTTTTTTAACAGCTTTCAGAACCTTACGTCCTATGAGCTGTTGGGCTAAAATTTCTCCTTACTTCGTGTTTTTTTTTAGATGGTAACCCAATGGTTAATCCATCCATATTTGATGATTTTGTTATTAGAATTAATCTAATAGGGCTGACATGTTATTGGTGCAGCAATGCCAGACAAGGGCTATTTTCACTTGGAAACATATTGCTATATATATTTTCAAGTGAAAACCGTTGTCACTGCTGCCTGACAACAGGCTGCTCGAAGTGGGTATCGAACCCGGGACCTCTGAAACAAGTCCCGTCGCTCTTAACCGCTTACCTACTGGCGAGCTCATAACTATATATAATGATAAGTAAATTTTTAGAGCCACATATTTAAGTACAACTCTACAAAGGTGAAAATGAATTCTGTGAATATGTACTACTTATTCACTACTTATTGAATTGACCATACAATTTTTGTACCACTCTCCAGCTAAATTATTTTTAACGGCAACTGAACTGCAGATTCAGCACTTTCAATCTATTCATATTGTACATAGCAATATTATTAATAATGCAAGTTGATCCATAGAAGAATGAGCAAATGCCTCATGTCATGTCTTACAACACAAGTTTTTGCCATAGTGCAAAAACTCCTTTGTAAATTGTTGCAATCTTGACACGTCTCTTTAATAATGCTAAAACCGGTATACGAAGAAAAGATAGCATCTTTAATTTTTTGCTAATGAGACTTTTATTTGTTATTCAATGAAAGAAATAAATCGATAAAATTTTTCTTGATTTACTAATAAAAGTATTAGCAACATCAATAAATAGCAGTAAAATTTGTTAACAACGGTTCTGGTAGGTATCTCAAATGATAATAAAATATTTCCACCAACTTCTTTCATTGATACAAATATCTTCTATATTGGTTGATGCATGTGATACATTATATCCACAAATGGCGTAAATCAAAATTATCCATGATAAAGATATTGTACTTAGTTCTGTATCTAAACCTATAACAACTCATGCCATAATTAAAAAATATGGATAAAAAAATTGATATTTAATAATTATAAATAAATATTGAAAGCCTGATGTTTATCTGGTGCAAGTACAAATGAGTTTCTTCATTTCAGAATGAGTATTTATTTGTCAAATATAAAGCATTGCTACGGAATGGTAAAACATAACATGATTGAAAAACAGTGCTGCTACCACACAGCCAATATTTGTTCAAATAAAATTTCCAGCAATACACATCGTGTACATTCCAAGCAATGACATCGTGTTGGCAGAGAAAAATATCATATTTTCAAATCTTCATTTTGAAAACAAAGTTTTCCAATTGACATAATGCAAACAAATGTATAATATTGTAATAACTGTTTTAAATCTATTTTGTATTCTAAAAATGTATTTAATGCAGAATGCAGATGTCAACGGTGATCAGTATGAAACTCGAAACAGAATATACCCAGTGTATTGCTATGAGCGTCGCTCACTATATCAATCTTTCCATTGTATAAGCCTATAATATTTTTAGATGCTTCTTTTGACAATGAACCTTATTACTGTGCAAAGTATATTTGATATTGAAAGAAAAATTAACATATAATTGCGAAAAAATGACCCGGCCGGTCTTTACCAATCTGATAATCTTTACTATTATCAAAACACATTTGTCATTTGATACTTTCAAACAATTTGGAATTTTTTTCAGGTTGGCAAATTGGATTTTTTTGGTGAAAATAGACTTTTCCTTCGCGAAGTTGAAAAGCAGGAGAGTAACAAATTTTTACTAACAACACTATCAATGAGTATATAAAATAGTCAAAATATAAATGATTAACTGATTAATTTTTACATACCGTCACTGTAAATTGGAGGTACTAGACGTCCATAACGGCTGTTGGCACTTCCTTTTCCAGGTTGATTTAGATTGTTGCAGGATCCGTCGAAAGAACGATATTTAGTATGTGGACAAGACAAAGGTTGGGCGCCGCAATTTTGGTCAGTAGCCTCTTGAGGTGCTATATAGTTCCAAGGCTCGTTTGGCAAATCGCCACCAGAAGGGTAACTGGAATAGAATAAAAACATTTTGTTAGAAAAAATATTTATTCGAGCACTGGCATTATTGTTTTTACATCAAAGTAGAATTCAATCACTCTGTGTTATTTTCAAGTTCCTGATCATTCTAAACATATTTTTTGCGCAGCACTACCCAAGGACTATTTTTACTGGAAAACATATTTTGATCTATATTTGCAAGATTTGCAAGATCTGATATCAATGCTGCTTAGTATCTGAATGTACGTAGCGCAGGATTAGAACCTGCAACTATTTGGTTGCAAGTCCGAGTCTGTAAATCTCTAATTCCCTATTTTAAATTTAATTAAATATAAAGTAGAAAAAGCATGTGCATATATGCTTTAATGTAAATAATAATTATTTGTGATGCAAAATTTTTGCCTGGGTTTGCAATTGCATTGAAAACAATTTGTAAAAACTGCTTGAAGATTTGTGTTAATTAGTTTAAACCGGTCAAGCAGCAGTTAAAGCTGTTTCGCTTTTTTGTAATTAAGAGTTTTTTCAAATGTTGTCCAAAATTGTAATTTTGTTCAGGAGGACACATTCGTTATATAATGTGTGCAAAATGTCAATAACATCTTATTGCCATAATGAATGTGCAAAAAAAGTAGTTTATACAAGCGGATGATGTGCAATAGTATTGAATACACTTATTGATATTTCAATATCATCTTTACTTTTTTTCCCATAAAGTGGACAAATTATTGAATGCTTGAGGTGGGATAAAAATATTCCTTTAGCATACCACAAATATTACTATTAAAATGATAAAATCCCCTATTCCTTAAGAATCTGACTGGGTAATCTGATCCAGACCAGTTGAACCAGTAAATTTTAGCAAAAGAAATGATGTCTCTCTAGTTAGAACTAATAATATTAGAGTTAACTACGTTTGTTTATTAAGATTTCTTTGTTTTGCTAACAAAGACTTGATTGAATAGATATAACTACTTTATCAATCATGTTTTCATCATTAATTGTAAGAAAATCAATTCAGGGAGACAAAACTGTTTGTTGCTTACTTACGGGATTGTAAATCTTGTTATTATTTAATTTGATTTTTTGTAATTGACAAAATTGACAAAAATTTAGAAAATGAATTAAAATAAAATTCAGAAATTCGTTATATATGTACTCATACTGATATCTCAAAAGGTGAGTAAAATTCTCGAACCCTTTCGTTAGTGGAAGAGCTGGGGTATGATTATTTATGCAAACAGTTTTCTTAAGAAGACAAAATCTCCATCTCCATTAAAATTGAATAGAAGTAATGAAATAAAGATGCCCAACATTTTGTTTGAGATAAAAAAATCTATTGAAAAGTAATTTTCGTGATTTTTTTTTCAACAGACATTTAAATTTGTCCAAGAAGTAGATCCTTTCAATACTAAGCTTATAATCATAATTTGTTAATTGCATAGTAAGACTTTACGCTTCCTCTGAGTTTATTTTTAATATAGGAGTTAAATGCGTGATTAATTATTATAGTACGATTAAGAAAATCATGATATTATTATTATTTTGCTATTTTCTGCGTATGTCGCCAATAAGTATGCTAACGAGCATCTAAATTTTACGGATATGAACTGAATCGAATCTGTAGTTCGATTTAAATTCGAAAGCTGATAACATTCAATTGTGAAGCGATTGATTGAATTTAGGTTATATAATATAAAATAAATAGCAATATAATTACACAATGCCATAACATTGCATTCACCGATCTTAATGCAATGAATGTTTGAAAAAATACCTCAATCAGTGAACGTTCATTATATATATTAGTTAATGCGTAGGAGAGAAACTCTCAAATTGAATCGCCAAACAAAAGTATAATAAAATATCAATCTTATTACGATTTGCATTATATTCAATAATGATTTATGCAAATATATTACGCAATGCTACTCTTGAAACAGTCCGTGCAAATTCATTATTACTTATATGCAAAGTTCATGGTTTTGAACACAAATATATATTAATTCATAGTTTGGTTCTGACATTAAAGTTTAAATATGACGTAACCGGGGTAAGTAGAAACATGTGTTTCTCAAAAGGATCATAAAAGATATTAAAATATTTTAAACCTCGGTTGTGCTTATAAATCATGCTGCATAATATTGTCATAGCTCTTGCCTCGCAGACCGACGCGATAAACAGAACTGTGCAGGTCCGTCAGTTTTGATAAATAATTTAAACTTCAACGATCTATCATAAAATTTTGGTTTGCGTTATTATTACCGATTAATTTTAAAATTTATATAATTTATTTCGTTTCAAATTTATCAATATTTGATTATGTGCAACAATTTTTGTGATTGCTAAAGTGCATAAATAGTATTATTTTGATTAGTTTTCGCACTTTTTCTAGAAATAGATTAATTGTGAAATAATTAACAACAGTTGTAAAATTATTTTTACATTATTCGGTGGAGGCATAATATCGGTAGAGGATCTCAGAATATATTGATTTAACAAATAAACTGCTACATTAAGCACCTAGCTTTCCTACTATAGAAAAAGCACATTAAATTATTTATTGTTCAAGTCCAAACATGTTCAGCCAACCCTCCTATAACGCGGTAATTTGACGACGTGTTTTCCATATTACGCGCAGCTGAAATTGCTACATTTCTCCGATAACACGGTTTTGGTTCAACAGCCCGCAAGTAACCTATGAACAACTTTAATAACTAGATACTGTAAAATGCTTTAATGTAAGTTTTATTATTGACTATTTTATCTATGTAAAAATAAATATTCCAGTTTATATCATAGATGTGTACGACATCGCTTTTAGTAGTGTCAGAAGCTCACAGAACGTTAGTTTTTTTAAAACAAATTTCTGTTGCAAAATTATTTGTTGGGGAAGAGTCATTTACTTCTATTTTGTCTTATTATTATTTTTTTAAATTATTTACTATCTTGTCTTGTATTTATTGATTTCTATAGAACGCGTTGCAAATAACGTGATTTGTACAATGTGTCTTAAAGCGCTGTTCCCCCCATACAACGCCATAGTTGGCTCGCATAGAACGCGCAAATTTTGTTGTTCACCAGGATTTTCTTTTAATATAAAAAATAAATTGCATGTAATTTTTTATGAAATTATAATCAGTGCTGTAAAACATTTAAAATGTTGACAATGGCACAATGTGTGGCATATTCATAAAAAGTACATAATAATTATTTACCAAAATTACTACATATAATAATGTCTATAATGTCTATAATAATATATAATATATAATGTCTATAATAAAATAGTTATATGCACACTAAATATAAGAGCAAAAACCATTTAAAATTACTTGATTTGAAAGAGCACAATATACATAAACATAAAATATGAATTATGACCAATTCATTATGTGGAAACTCACTATGTATTTTATTATCTGTTATTAACCAGCTATTAAAATATCCTTAATATTGAGCACAAAATTTAAACAAATATAAATTTCTCGTTTCGTTTTCAACTTCTAATATTTATGGATGCTAAATACTTAAAAGATTACAAAACAAAATAATATGTATACAAATTTTTCGTATTTATCGATTTTTTATTATCGATTTTATTTACAAATTTAAATAATTTTCATTTCTTACACAAGATACTCATATACCTATTTGCCATCATTTTATTAATCTGTTTTTATTAACATGTTGGAAATATTTTTCATTTCGTTGAGACTTATGGGCAGAGAAAGTGATGTAAAATTTTTATTGTTAGAAAATGTTGTAAGATATTTAATTTTGTACATACTTTCCTAACATCAATTGCCTAACTAATTGATTTAAAAGTTACAGATATTACATAAAAATTACATTTGAACAGAAACATATCTAGTCAAGGATATACTTGAACCGTGTTAATCTTGAAAATCCATGAAGTTTTATTGCTGTATAGTAGATATTCAATTTCTAACAAGTATATTTCATTCCTTTACATACCTATTTGTATGTAAAAATCACAAATTAATTATTAATAAAAAATTTGAATAGTTGGTATTGGTATTTTGCCTTGAGGCAAGTTACAAAAACTTCCCGATATGTGTGAATAATCAACTTAATACATAATAAATAAATTAATTTAGGAAGTATTTAAGTATTTATTATTTATTAAAGTATTTCTAGTGGATTTATTACACATAATTAAAAACGAACGAACATGTTAACTCGAAGTATTTTCAAAAAGCAAATTTTCACAAATCAATAATTTTCATAATTGAACCAGTTTCGGTAGCACTTTAATGGTTTAGTATGTTCATCAAGACCAAGTACTCTATCGTTAAACCAAGTGAATCGTCTAATTTTAATTTTAACAAACGTCAATCAAACTACTCATTTTCTCAAATTTTGATAATTTTTTTTAAATTAAACTACTTGTAAAAAGGCCGTAATATTTCAGTATGTTCTATAAGACCATGATATATATCGCCAAAAAAAGTTCCATAAAAATCGTTTTAATTTTTTTTTCAACAGTTAATTACAAGAAAACGGCTCGGTAGATTTTCACCTAAAGCTAATCAGTATCATTCTCAATTGATATTTTTCGAACAGTTTTTGATTTTTTAAAATCGATTTGGTAGTATGAATTTTTTTTAACACTTTATTACAAGAAAACAGCTCGGCCGATCTCTATCAAAAACTAATCATTACGATTCCCAACCAATATGTTTCGAACGGTTTTTGAATTTTCAAAATCGATTCAGAATTGCGGGCTAAAACGTGGACGAAACATTTTTCACTTTTCTGCTATTTATAAAGAAACGGCTTGGCCAATAGTCCTCATCAAGGAGCATCGAATGGCTTTTAAATTTTTGAAATCGGTCCAGCCGTTTTTGAGAAAACGGCGATTTACGGCAAAAAATCTGTTCACACACATACTTTTGCCAAATTTGGTCTCATTCGATTCAGAATGGCGTGAAATGTTGAGAAAACATAAAATTAGCAAATAGCATTTTTTTATGAAAACAAACTTCTTCT